AAATGCCTCATCTGGTGCTTTTTTTTTTTTTTTTTCCTTTTTTTTTTTTTTTCCTTTTTATCTTTTTTGGGGACCGGCAACGGGATCGCAACCCTCGGTGTTGCCCCCGCACCGCGCTCCGCCAGTGAGCGGGAACCGGTCTCCACATGGGATCTGAACCCTTAGCGGGAGCGCCGCCGCGCTCCCAAGCGGCGCACTCTCCAGTGTGCCACCGGGCCGGCCCCTCATCTGGTGCTTTTAATTCTAGGCAATGGAGGAAAATTCAGACTGTTTCAAGTAGAAAAGGAATTTATTGAAAGCATATTGATTAGTTCACTGAATTGCTGGGATGGCTGTAGCCCTGAATAATCAGAAACAAAGAAAACTAGATAGTAGCAGAAAAGACATAAGTTAAAAATCATGACATAAAACCAATCCAGTGACAATAACGGGGCTGCAAATTGCAAAAGGCTACACTCAGTCACTGCATATCTGCTACTGTCACCTTTGGAAACTTAATGTTGCTACTGTCTCCTGCTGCCAAAATCCAATTTTTGCTGTCCCAACTTCTTGCTGTCTCTAGCTCTTAGAGTCATTGGTGGGAGTGTCATATTGGCAGAGTCTAGGTAAGTGCCCGTGTCCATGCTGCAGGGTGACTAGAAGAACAAGTATAATGGTATTGTTAGTTTCTATATAAGAAGGGAGACTCATAAGGCAGGAAGTTTCTTAATCCAGCGAGGGAATTCAGGTACAAAGTAGCACTCCTACACCTCCACTCAAAATCATGTCCTCTACATTTGGTTTGTCAGATACGATAGATTTGTTTTTGCTACTACCAAAGCAGTTATAGCAAGAAACTGCAGTCAATTCAGTTATTTAGTATTGATTTATTTAGTTCTTATGATGCAGTGTGGAAAGATCTTTGTAGTCAGACAGATATGAGTTTGAAATCTAGCTTTATTGGTGATTTTGGTTAAGTTGCTTCATACTAAGCCTGTTTCCTCATTTATTACATGGTGATAATAGTACCTTTGTAGAATTCAAATACTTGCAGTAAAAGCAAATAGAGATATGTGTAAAGTGCTGCAGGAGCAGAAAGGAAGCAGTGAATGACCCAACAATCTTGTATTATATATTCTGTGTAAATAGATCATTTTAGCCTGAGAAACTGACAAAACTGTAATTCTTGTATTTCATCTGGAAATTAAGGCAACAATATAATATTACTATTTTAAAAATTACATTTGTCAGTTGGTTCTTCTCAAATAGGTCTGTGTAGTTATCCCTTTGCTTTTTTAACAACTGTTGATTCTGTACTCTATGTACTTCTCCAGAGAATTGCTGTGCATGGTTTGGCAGTAGTTTTACTTTGGTAAGTGAATCATTGTCTGTCCTATGAATCAATCATTAGGATAAGTAAGATTTGGAGAGACTTCTTAGAAATAGAAGATAGCTATAAGGTGCATTTTGTGTATTATGTTTAGTAGGTTTTTCCCTAGGAAGGGAAGAATGAAGAATGTTCTTTAAAAGTTTATTTCTGTTTCAAACGGTTGCTTGTCTGTATCTCTGTTTAAGAAGTCTTTGCTGTGGGGGTGAATTGGGGATTTAAACAGTTGATGACTTAAACCATTTGTTAGTTAACAAATAGAAATCAATAGAAAAAATTCTGCTTTGCTCTTAGCCTATTATACTAAATATTTCTCTTATTGATGACTTGTTCCATTTTATTCCTATTTCGAATTGAGTATAAAATATAGTTATAGGTTAACTTTAATCAGAAAGTAACAAATTACTATGAAATAACAGTTTTCAGTTTTAAAACTTGAATTTCAAAAATACATGTTGAATTTATTTTATACGTTATGGAACATTTTCAAGTTAAAACAATGTTATAATTTTTGTCATAATCCCAAAAATGATCCTTAGGGAAATGGTCATTACATTTAATAAAAATCATGAGTAGTGTTCTGGGTTTTTATTTGTTTGCTTTTTTAAAGGAGCATTTTGCCTTTCTTTTGAAATGAGGAGTATTTGCATTTAATTTTCCCGTATGCCTCCATAAGAAATTAGTTCATGTCAGAAGTCATTTACTAAAACACATGACATGGACAATTGTCTTCTGTTTTGGAAATTCACACCAGTTCTGCAGGGCCTGTTTGAAATGTCACAGTGTTATATTGCTGCTCTTGCTCTCATTTCTCTCTGCTCTTCTGTTTGTATTTCTCACACTCCAGCTATGCTGAGCTGTCCCTCTGCCTGGAATGGTTGCCTGTACTTCCCAACTGCTTCCCAAACTTGGCTTTGATTCTGAATCACTTGTGGCACATATTAAAAATATGAATTTCTTGGCCCACCTGGAGATTTGGGAGACTCTAATTAATTAAATCTGAAGTGAGGCCAAGACATAAGCTATTTATGTGGTTCTGATGCACAACCAAATCTGGGAAGCACAACTTTAGTTTTTACCTGACCTGCCAAATTCACTTTACTCAGATACATTTCCTGATCCTTAAAACAGCATTTTCTGCCCCCCTTGCTTGCTTCTGTAGTATCCTGTATATACTTTAATTACAACACAATTATACTAATTATAGCATGTCTCCCTCATTAGATTGTAAACTCCTTGAAGGGAATAAGGATTGTGTTTTATTTCACTTTGTACTTCCAGCATCTAGCACAGTGCCTGCCACATAGTAGGTGCTCAGCAGGTGTTGGGTAAATAAATAAATGCGTGACTTGGAAATACTTGTGTTTTATCAGTTGTGCAAAACAAACACAAATTTGTAATTTCTAAGTAAAAACATTTATATTCCCTAAATTGTGTTAGTCAAGTTTTTAGAAAATGTTAATCTGATAGTAAATATGTACATTTTAATAAATAAGTTGCCAGAATTTTATATTATTATTTCAAAATAATGACTCAGGGAAAAGGGATATTAATGGTTCTGGGGAATAGTGAAAAGACACACTCATAAGACCCTTTCAAGTGCTCTTCAGCTTAATTATTTTATCAATTTCATACCTGAGTTCCATGCAGGAGAGGTGTCTTGCACTTTGTGCCTATACTTTTTCTGTAACCTTACCCAGTTCTCAGAGATTTTGTTTTTATTTGCCTGGTTTTAGCTTCCTAAAACATTTCACTGTTTTTAGGCAATTTTCTGCCCTCAAATAATTGTTCTGGACTTAATTCCTGTTTAGCTACCTCCAAAATGCTTAATATGATTAAGATGAGGAAGAGAAAAGGCATTAAGCAGGGATTGGGTTCTAAAGCCCATATGTCAAGCAAAAATTGAGCCAAATTACTTTCAAAATTTCAAATGGCACATAAATTATAGTGTAATATTGTTTTTCATTAAGCTGAACACAGCCAATTTTCCCTCCAGTGCTATAACAGTTGATTATTGTTTTCTTTGGCTGAACATTGGATAAAGTGTTTTACTTATGATTAGGATCCATGTTGTATGAAAAATATATGTATCTTTAATATTAGAATTGTGATGCTCATGCTGTGAGAAGCACATGGGAATTGAAGCTTACTGAGGAAATTTAGAATTACAGCTTCCAGTTCATGTTTACTGTGGGGAATAAACACATTCAATATTCATATTACGTTCAGTGAGATATGTCTTTCCTTTTTTCTTTTTATCTATTTTTTTCTTTTTGGCTGAGTGCATAAGATTAAGTTCAGGGAGTAAAATGTGTATATAATTTTTCTTAAAATATGATTTAG